TTCAACATCTTTTTCTGAATCCGACATTGTAGCATGGCATAGACAATTCACGTTAGCAGTTTGAAGAACACCTGCTTGGGGGCCTGAGGATCAACCAGGCCATGATGGGCTGCATGAGGAGGAAGAAAGCAGAGCCAGGGCCAAGCACTGACCCTGGTGAGACGGAGGAGGATTAGGAACCAGAGGCACCACAGTTTCCAGAACCTCCATGCTCGACCTGCTACACCTAGCAAACCATCAGAACAGCGTCAGGTTTTATGGCCGGCTGCAAACGAGGAGGCTGAGTGGCGGCAGTTTGACGAGGATGGTGATGCTACTCTAAATGCATCTTGCAGAGAAGTTGATCAGCGACTCCAGTTGATGAGCAGCCTAATCATCAGCATCGGTTCAGAGAGATTACATAAAAGGCTCAGAACTTGCTAGGCCAAGACCAGAATCGCCGGTATAAGAGGGCGTGCGAGGAGGAAAGACCAGCCCTGAGAGAACTCTGGGACATCCTGAGGCAGAAACTCGTATCTCTGCATTGGGCTGAGTGGCACAGGCAGAGAGAGAGAGGGCTCGTAAGCGAACGGCCTTTGTTGCAAATCCGTTTTGATCTATGAAGCAGCTGTTGGGGCCGACGCAGAGTGGGACCCTGCAATGCTCAGAGAATGAGATCAACCAGAGCCTTAGTGCCACATACAGCAGGAGGGAGGAGGATCTGCCTACCTGCAGAGAGCTACCCGCACCTCCAACACCATCTGTCCGGTTTAACATTAAGGAGCGCACGCTGGCAGAGGTCAGGAGCATCCTACGAGCTGCAGGTACCAGTGCAGGCCCAGGTGGGGTGCCCTACAAAGTCTGCCTGAGACTCCTGGAGAGGCTCTGGAGATTTATTAGGGTATTATGGAGGAGGGGGGAGTGGCTTAGCAATGGCGTCACTCAGAGGGGGTTTGGATACCGAAGGAGGAGGACGTGAGTGACATCACGCAGTTCCGCTCCATCTCCCTACTCAGTGTGGAAGGCAAAGATTCTTGCTAACAGGTTATCTGAGAATCTCCTGAGAAATTCCTACATTGAGACCTCTGTGCAGAGGGGCGGAGTTCCAGGCGTGCGAGGCTGTTTGGAACATGCAGGAGTGATGAACCAGGTGATCCGGGAGGCGAGAGAAAACCGAGGAGACCTCTGGCTGACTTGGCCAATGCCTACGGATCTATTCCACACGCTTCTGTCACAGGATGTTGTCAGTTTGTAAACTAATCTAATCTCAGCGGTCTAGAGGGAAGTCAGCCGATCCTCTCTGATGTTTGATCATCAGGTCTGAGCTTCTCCTGCGTCTTTTCTTCCTGATCTTAATGTTGGTTGAAGGGGGAGGAGTAATGAGAGGAAATCGGAGGAGCCTCAGGGTGAAGTCAGAGCTCTAAGGAGAGAGGAGGCCTCAGAGGAGCTCCTTCCTTTCATCTTTGAACAGAGAGAGGAGGACAAGCAGAGCTGCTCCTCCTCAGGAAGCCTCCTGTTCTCAACAGGACCGAGATAAACATCAGTCAGTGAGGAGGAGGAGGAGGAGGAGGAGGAGGAGGAGGAGGAGGAGGAAGGTCTGCAGCTGCTCATCTCCTGCTCTAGATCTTCCTCCTGTTTCAGCTTCAGATCTTCCTCTCCTTCTGATCCTGGTACCTGGAGCAAAGCGGACCTCTGCTCTCCAGCCTGGATCTACAGCATATGGAGCAGAAAGTTCTTCACCAACAGCTGCACTAAAGCAATAAACCAAAGATGGTTTCAGAGCCGCTCTGCATCTTCAGAGAAACTTCAGAGAAAAGCCTCTCAGGGGAGGACTTTATACAAGCCTCCAGTTAAAAAACCCGCTGGTGATCTGATGGATAATTTCACACCTTATTTATCGCGGTGTTTCAACCCTTTCTGCGGTCTGTCTGAAAACGCGTCCCATGTTTTTATGGAACAAACCAGGCTAAAGACCATTTTTAGCCTTTTAATTACCGTATTTTCACGACTATAAGGTGCAGTGGCGGCCGGCCCATAGGGGGCGCTGGGGCACCGCCCTCCCTGATAAGAAGAGAGAAACGTAAAATATATTTTTAGAAATTAACTCATAAATGTCAGTTTTACTCTCTAGACTGTGTAACTATAAGCAAAACAAATTATATAAACTACATTTCCCTATCTACTGTCATTAATTTGTGGATTTCCACAGACAGACTCCTACCGTCTCTGTTCTGGGGGCTGTGATCAGACAGCCCCACATTTGCAGAGAATCTGTCAATCATGTACTATTGCTAGGTGAATTTAATGGCCAATCAGCGTCTCGGAACTTTATGGTCTTGGGGCGCTGAAAATACTGCGCTTTAACAGGCTTCTGAACCCAAGCGCAGGTGCAGACAATTAGAGTGAAGATGGCGAATGTAAGAGCGAGATGCAGCTTCCACCAAATTCGGTGAGATCCTTATTTATCTACCCGTTTGCCAGAAGAACATCCCTGTTGTATGATATGAACATTTCATGTCATGGTTATTGTGACTGTGACGAATCCACCTCGTCCCTTAAAACAACCTCTCTAACTTTGCGCGCCACACACACATTCCTGTTATACTGTGTTTGTGAGGACCAATAAACTCGCGCTGAGACCAGTAGCTCCATGAACTTAAAACACACAAGCTGTCCTGGTTACCTGCTGGCATATTGAGGGTGCACACTTAATATTTCAGTGGGGTTAGCCGTGTGTGTGTGTGTGTGTGTGTGTGTGTGTGTGTGTGTGTATGTGGGGGGTGTGGGTGTGTACGTGTTTATGCGGGGACTTGTCATCTTCAGTCTGGCTGCGTCTTTGCTGGGTTCAAACCCAGTTTGGTGTAATTGAATAAGTCAATGAAAAAAGAATTGTGTAAAAGAATTAAGTTGTAAAAATTATTTGTTTTTGTACATCAATTGTTTGTGGAGGTAATATATGGACAAAACTGATTAATGAGAAGAAATCAGAAATAAGAGAGCCTAAGGTGAGGGGCTTAAACTATTTAATGAGGGCTGTGGGAAGAAAAGCGGCAATTTTTGTTGTCTGTTTCTTTGTTACATTGCTGGTAACTGGAGGGAGGCTGAGGCCCAGAGTATCTTGTACATGTTTAGTTTCTTTTGCATCCTGTTTTGAGTTTTTGAGCTCAATAAATCACCAACACCGGTAACCCGACTGAGACTGGATTCTTGGAGGCCAAAGAACCCCGTCACAGTGACCCAAATCATCACTGTTACTGTTATTATATAGTAAATTAAATCATTACTGTTAAATTGTATGTATTGTCCAATTGTTTATTTGAATTCTTATTCCGGGTTAGTTGGAGACATACACTAGGCTATATCAGCCCCACCAAAAATATTTTTCACCAGCCGCCACTGATAAGGTGCATATAAATGTCTTTTTTTTCCCTCAAAATGTGCGGTGCGCCCTATGTGTGTTACTGCGGACGTTGTTGAGACCGCCATGAGAACGTTAAGGGGGGAAGTGTGGGCGTGGATTGTGTATAAAAGAACAGGTATGTGCTTTATCCAGAACTCCTCATCTCCTCATTTAGGAGATGATGAAAGAGTGGCTGAATGTAAAGAGACCAGGTGGTTTTTTTCCACTCATCACCATCGCTGTTAATCTGTGACTCCATGCGTGCCCATCTCACAGCTGATGTGAAAAACACGGTAAAACACATGAACGCTGTGCTCGCTGTTATAGCGGTAGGTTTGACAAAGGAACTTCAACCGCTCGACATCGGTGTGAACCGGACGCAGCAGAAGCAGCAGAAGCAGCGAGTTTACATGCTAAGTCAATGGTTGACGCGCGTATAGGTGCAGCAAAAGGTCCAGCAGCGCGTCGGGAGCGTTTAAGCATCTGACACGCTTGACGTGCTGCAAATGTGCTGCTGCTGCTCGAGATGGAAACCTTGACCTTTAGCCTCTGGACATCAACCAATGAGAGAAGCTGATCTGGGAGCTGGCAGGGAGTCAGACGCAGCACTGCTGATGCAGAGCGCTATGATCACTCCTCTGAAACAGTTTATTAACGCCTAAATTAACTTCAAATGTAGAAACCTGCCGGCAGAATATGTTGGCTTTTATTATCCTGCTGTCTGGGAAGTTCGGTCTGGCATTGCTCAACAGTAGCACGAGTATTATCGCCCACTCTCTGGCGATCCAATCAAATTGTCAGGGCGGGCTTTATACGATGATGGACAGATGATCAACAGTAATGTAATCAACCATGTCACCAAAGCGCGCTTGGGCGACAACAACAATGGCAGCCGCTGGAGAGTTGAGGTGAGTAGATTCTGCTATTAGGTCTGTTCTAGAAGATATCGACAGCAAATTAATTTTAAAAGAGGAACAGAGAAACGCGATCAAGGCTCATCTTCTTATTCTAGGCGTGAAACTGCACGCTTTGATTTTTGTTGACAACAACTATGCCTCGCTTAACATACAGTACGTCACGCACTCCGTTGCTCTTATTGGTTGTAGGTCTATCCAATTGAGTCCAGAGGAATTTTTTTTCCTGGTTCGTTCGAAACACGCCCCATAATCACAGCTCTATGTAGCAGCATCAGACTCATTCTGACTAGAATTGAGTAGGACTACATCAGGCTAGAGTAGCTCCACCCAACGCGCGTCAGACGCACTTTACCACCGCGCAGCCAGAGCAGCAAAGCTGCTTCAGCCGCGCGTCAGAACTAACTGGTACAATCTAACCTGCAGGCAGCAGGATAATAAAAGCCAACATATTCTGCCAGCAGATTTCCTCCGCTGCATGCTTGCTGTGAGGAATTGCTGCAGAGTCTGATTGTCACCAGCTGGTTTATCTGAGATAGAAAATTTGAACCTTAAATCTGACTGGATAATCTGATTGAACTGGATCTATAAAGAGATGAACGGTTGGAGTTTGGAGCTGTAGAAATAAACTGTATAGATGTGAAACTTCAGCTGGTTCTGGTATCTGCTTGGTTCCAGGATCTACAGCCTGGTAGGAGGAACCTCACCTCTCTCAGGTAGCAGGAGATCCCTCTGAGGGCTTCACCCATGGCGCTGGGGGACGGCAGCTGGAGGAGGACACAAAGAAGACGGTGAGGACGCTGGTCCACTTTCAGCAGACCTTCAGGTTCGCCTGATCTGATGGAGGCACCAGAAACCTCCATTATCTACTGAGGAGGCCAGACGTCCAGCTACAACCTTCAGGAATCTGCCCTTTAAAAGCCCAACAACCGTTTCCATAGCAACCTGCAGCCCTGATGGACGTTTCTCTGGTCTCATCCTGATGTAAACAAAGACGTCCCAAGTTCCAAAAACTCATTTCAGGGAGATGCTTATCATAACGGGGGCCAGTGCCCCTGTTATGGCCCCTGTACTGAAGACATAATACTATAAAGACATTCTAACAATGATCTGCGCTGGAACAGACATGGTTACTGATTGGTCCTTTGGATCTATTTCATTCTTTTCTTTACAAATTCTGTTTTATTAATTATTTAAAACCAATAAGCTGATAGCTTCAGTGCTGAGATAGGATCCCAGTTTTCATCTGATAAATGTTGTTTTTTCACAACAAACTAAAAAAAATGCTCTAATTTTTAAAGATAAATTTAACAGTTTTTCTTGAATTCTAATCAAAATTTTATAGAAAACAATAGTTTTAACTTTAATTAAGTAAAAAAAATGTAAAATTCCTAAATTATAAATGTATATTGACCTCATCAGAAATTTAATTTTTACGTAACCTAATTGAGAAGAATTTTCCCTTCATGCAGCTATATTAATATATTTGAATCTTTATTATTAAAGTATTTCTGATTCCTGGTTGATGGGACAGGTGTTGTGAATGAAATGGTGCCCAGCTTGATGTGTGTCTCTGAATGTGAGCATTGATGACTGAAAGACGTCTTCTGCCTCTATTTATCTGTTTACTGCAGTCTGTTGGATTCAGGTTCATTTAAAGACATTTCAATTAGTGGGAAAAATTACGGGAGAGAATATAAAAAAAAAAGTCTAATCAACAGAAACTTTAGCGACCCCCAAGCAGTACCTCCATGGACCCCTAGGGGTCGCGGTCCCCCTGTTGAAGACCCCTGCCCTAAAGGCTCCTCTAACGGACTATTTATGTGGTTCTACAGTCGGCCACAGGACCAGAACCGATGGGTTGATTTACCGGTGGCGGATGCTCCAGACAGGTGTGGAAGTGTTTGGGCTGGTTGGGTTTGACCCGTTTCAGTGGAACCCGGGACTCTCCGATCAGCTCGTTATGAGTCAACTTGTCCTCATCGCAGACGGTCAACCTGAGACAGGAAACATGGAGCCATTAACATGCTGATCTGGGTCAGAACAACACACCTGTTCTCATCACTCAGAAAGGATTGGTCAGGTGGTTCTGGTTTCGCTCATTAGTTTGGGTTCAGGGCAGGAGTCCAGTTTATTTAGTCTCATTGGTTTCCAGTGTGTGGTTCTCCTGAGAACTGGATCAGAACCTGTAACAGAACCAACCAGGGAAAAAACTACAGGAAGAGAGAACCCCACCAGAACCCGAAGGAGGGGGGAGGAGGAAGCAAACCCTGAAGGGACCAGGAAGTTAGAAACAGGAACAGGAAAGAACCAAACAAACGAATGAGAGGAAGGAGAACAAGAGGAGAACAGGAGGAGAACCAAAGGGGGACAAGAGGAGAACCAAAGGGGAACCAGGGGAGAACAGGAGGAGAACCAAAGGGGGACAAGAGGAGAACCAAAGGGGAACCAGGGGAGAACAGGAGGAGAACCAAAGGGGAACAAGAGGAGAACCAAAGGGGAACCAGGGGAGAACAGGAGGAGAACCAAAGGGGAACAAGAGGAGAACCAAAGGGGAACCAGGGGAGAACTAAAGGAGAACCAGGGGGAACTAAAGGAGAACCAGGGGAGAACAGGAGGAGAACCAAAGGGGAACAAGAGGAGAACCAAAGGGGAACCAAGGGAAAACTAAAGGAGAACCAGGGGAGAACCAAAGGAGAACCAGGGGAGAACCAAAGGAGAACCAGGGGAGAACTAAAGGAGAACCAGGGGAGAACCAGGGGGGAACTAAAGGAGAACCAGGGGAGAACTAAAGGTGAACCAGGGGAGAACTAAAGGAGAACCAGGGGAGAACCAGGGGGGAACTAAAGGAGAACCAGGGGAGAACACGAGACGAACCAAAGGGGAACAAGAGGAGAACCAAAGGGGAACAAGAGGAGAACCAAAGGGGAACCAGGGGAGAACCAAAGGAGAACCAGGGGAGAACCAAAGGAGAACCAGGGGGGAACTAAAGGAGAACCAGGGGGGAACTAAAGGAGAACCAGGGGGGAACTAAAGGAGAACCAGGGGATCTCATCTGTCAGAGAACCATCAGATCAGGTTCCTGTAGGGAATCCTGTTCTGGATCCAGTTAACCCTTTGCTGTCTCTGAATGTCATGGACATCATGGAACGTCATGGAGACGCCGCTCTGTCTCCGACTCACCGCAGCGTCTTCCTATGCATGTCCTCCTCCGTGATGCCGTAGTAGGTGAGCGTCTCATTCCAGACCGGATTCAGGGAATTCCGTATCGTCTTCGTCTTCAGCTTGTTGGCCTGAAACGCAGAGACAATCAGAGACAATCAGAGACAATCAGAGACACTGGTCCCTCATTCAGGAACAAATTCACTCTGAAATCTTTCATTCAGGATCAAACTCCTCATCCTCCATCTTCCTCCTGTCTCTGATCGTCTCTCAGGTAGGAACTCCTTCTCCTCCAGACTGATGAAGGAGTCTAGATCCATCAGTCAGCAGGTAGTTCCTCCCTAAATGACCTCATCTGTTCCTTAGAAGCAATCATCCATTCTATCAGGCTGCATCGTTCTATATTCTGCAGCTCTACAGTTCTAGATGCTAGAACTCTGGGTCCCTCCCCCTGCAGCTGGCAGCTGGACTGAGATGTTCTGGCTGCAGATGGAGCCTCAGCAGGAGTCCAGTCTGCAGACCTGCAGACCTTTAGACCTTCAGAGCTGCAGCCAGAGGAGGTTCTGTGGAGTTCAGACTCAGGAGATCCAGAAATGCTCTCCACACTTTTCAATCACTGACATCATAACCACAGACGGCGGCCACATAGAACCATCAGTACCCGTGGACTGGGACCCACTCACCTTACTGGCTCCTGGTAGCAGGTGCAGCTTCACGTAGGGATCGGCTAGTCCGTTGAAGTCCATCGGCTTCAGACCCTGAAACAACAAAACGGCAACCGGGTCAGTTGGAGCAACGTTCTGACAGGAAGGAGGGTCGATCTGACAGGAAGGAGGGTCGTTCTGACAGGAAGGATGGTCGATCCGACAGGAAGGAGGGTCGTTCCGACAGGAAGGAGGGTCGATCCGACAGGAAGGAGGGTCGATCCGACAGGAAGGAGGGTCGTTCCGACAGGAAGGAGGGTCGATCCGACAGGAAGGAGGGTCGATCCGACAGGAAGGAGGGTCGATCCGACAGGAAGGAGGGTCGTTCCGACAGGAAGGAGGATCGTTCCGACAGGAAGGAGGGTCGATCCGACAGGAAGGAGGGTCGATCCGACAGGAAGGAGGATCGTTCCGACAGGAAGGAGGGTCGATCCGACAGGAAGGAGGGTCGATCCGACAGGAAGGAGGATCGTTCCGACAGGAAGGAGGGTCGATCCGACAGGAAGGAGGGTCGTTTAGACAGGAAGGAGGGTCGATCCGACAGGAAGGAGGGTCGTTCCGACAGGAAGGAGGGTCATTCCGACAGGAAGGAGGGTCGTTTAGACAGGAAGGAGGGTCGATCCGACAGGAAGGAGGGTCGTTCCGACAGGAAGGAGGGTCATTCCGACAGGAAGGAGGGTCGTTCTCCAGCTGAGCCCGCAGCATGCTCCATCCACCTCTCTGGACCTAATCATCTCTAAAAGGCAGCGGCGGTTCTGGTCCACTGGAACCTTTGTCAGATCCATAATATCTCCATGGTCCATCCTCTGGATCACCAGCTTCTGATGGATCTACTTCTATCATAGATATAAAGGATGTAGAGTGTTAGCAAAGGCTCCTGGTTCCCTTAGAGAAGGTTCCCCACTGAGCATTGACTGGTTGGTCTAAACCATCGGAGACGATGCTGTTTTAATCCAGAAGTTCAGACATGAATCTAAACATGAGGGTGATGGGAAGGAGGCCTTTTTCCCTCAGTGGGAGGTTTCCTGTCCTGATCATGCAGCCCTGAGGACTGATGTTTGGCCCCTGAGGACTGATGTTTGGCCCCTGAGGACCCGCTGAGGCCCTCACTGCTAACAGAGCGTCTGCAGGAACGCGGCTTCCTTAATGGCTCAGAAACCAGGCCGTCTGCGTGTCGGAGTTAACCCAGATATGCCCCGCCCCCTAACGCAGACGCTCTGCTGCACCTCTCCACCATGTAGCTGAGCGCAGATAGGAGGCCCCTGATTGGTCAGATCTACATCCACTCTACTCTATGCATTTTTCCTGTTTGGTTCCTTACTGGCTGGCTTTGTTTGTCTGACCGCCATTTTGGAAAACGTCTGGTGAAGATGGAGCAGCTAGCAGAGCGAGGTGAGAACGCTGGGACCCTTTTTCCACCTGGATCCCCGCTCTTTTTGGCCCTCATGTCCCTCCGTGGTCTCACAAACTTGCCCCCACTTCCTCACCGCCTCGGCCGTATCTAGACCCACAGCTAGTTCCTGATTGGCCGTCTGGCGTCGTGGCGTGGAATAACAGCGCAGACCACGCTTCCATGTTGGACAGGAATTAATGCAACAAGAATATTGATGTTAGCCTGTTGCTGATGAAGCCAGAAATATTTCAGGCTGAGTCCCCCCCTCCCCCAGCTGTTTGATGCGCTGACATTAACGGCGTTGGAGGCGGAGCTGTCCCTGCAGACGCAGCAGCAGAACCTGTTTGGACCTGGGGGAGAAATCGCTGACATTCAAGGATCTTCCTGGAGACATCAGGAGAGGAAGAAGACGCCGCTGAGGGACAGCAGGAGCCAAATGATCTGCGACGCCGGAGGACATGAAGCCATCTCCTTCTCAGTGCTGAGATGGGAGCACTGGTTAAACTGGTCGGACTGAAACAGTTTCTGTGCAGCTCAGGATGATTAGAAGATGTCTGTAAAATTAAAACCTTGAAAATTAGAGTTTAATTCTTTGTAGAAAACAGTTGGAGAAGAAGGAACAGATGGGATCTCCTGAAGGTCTCCTCAGGGTTTGACATGCTGGTCCACCTGGAGACATTCAATCCAGTTCAGTTTATGTATAAAGCAGCCAGGAGACCCTGCTTCAGAGGATGAGGACAAATCCATGACATGGAAACGACTCGGTGACTCTGGATCTCTGATTCACATCATCTCAGGTCACTTTCCAGTTCAACCAGTTCATCCAGTCAGATGAAAGTTTTCTATCTAAGGAAAACCAGCTGATTGCATCGACTCATTGACTCTTCAGCAATCCCTCACACTAAGCATGCTTGTAGCGACAGTGGAGAGGAAAAACTCCCTTTGAACAGGAAGAATCCTTTTGGTTTTCAGCAGAACCCAGAAGGACCAGGCCGTCCAGTGGGGAGCAGGCAGAGGTGGAGCGATGGAGTCACCTGGTCGTCTCAGGTGTGTCTAGTTTAATCCTCTGAGCAGATTCAGTGGCTGCAGAACAAACACAGGACATGGAGATGACCTGGTGACCCCTCAGCTCCGCCTGTGGGAGTGGGTGGGGAGGGTTAAAGGTGAGACAGGAAGTCTCAGCTCCTCTTCTGATTTCGACCGTTGCGTAAAATATATAGAAATAATATGGTTCTGGTCCTTCTGGGTCAGAACTTTGTCTCCTCTTGTTTAGCAGGAAAGCCCCCCCCCCCCCCCCCCCCCCCCCTGCTCACCTTGGCCCTCAGCACGGTGCAGTGCAGCTCGCTGCAGCTCTGGTCGTATTTCAGCTCGAACTCCAGCGTCCCCAGAGCCGCTGAGGAGAAGCAGAGAGAAAGCAGCGGCGCATCAGTGGGCAGCAGAGCGGTCAGCGTTCACAGCCTGCCTGATGATCAGGAGCATGCAGGAGAACAGCTGAACCCCCACACAGCACGGGTCAACATGCTGAACGCTGTGGAACGACTCACCCACAGCATGGAGAAGAACGGGCTGATGTTCTCCCAGGGTTCTTATATAACATCAGCCTGATGACTCACACAGACCAGCAGCTTATTCCAGTAAACAGCTCCTAAATAAAGCTGCGTTACCCAACAACGTGTTTAGATGCTGCTGTAAACTGTCCAGGAGCTGGAGACCAGCCTCCATAACTCCCCTACTGGAAAACTGCTGTGGAGCCAGAAGGTCTGTTCTTCAGACTGCTGCAGGACCGGCCCTGTGGAGCCAGGAGGTCTGTTCTCCAGACTTCTGCAGGACCGGCCCTGTGGAGCCAGGAGGTCTGCCTCCTCTGGCTGCAGGCCATCAGGCCTCAACCTCCAGCTGAAACCACGGCTTCTTCCCACCTGCTCCACACCTGAGGGGACCCAGATCAGGTCTGGGTCCCCCTCTGATGCCTCAGCAGATAAACATCTCAGCTCGTCTGTAAATGCAGATTTCATCTCATTTCATTAGGTTCATATTAGCTCCTCATTAACGGCTCGTTTTCCTGTATTCAGTCACTTAAACAGAACCAACCTTAAACCGGCGGTTGGTTCTATAAACCCAGCGGTTGTTCTGCCCTCCAGCAGCCTGAGGCTCCAGAACCTTCTGGGTTTTTCCATCTGAGTCCAAAGCTCAGACATGCAGCAGTGATGAGCAGCGCTGCCGTTATCACGTCTCCATGTGGAGAGAAACCTCCTTTGTTTAATCCAGGGCGTCTTTTATGTTTGATCAAAGCGTTGGGCTCAGTTTCAGCAGCCAGGCTGTCAGACACTCTGCAGACACGTCCCTCAGCCTCCTGATCTGATCCTTCTGAAGCTTCTTATTCAGCCTGAGACACATCAGACCTCATCGTGTAAACGTTAGAAAGCTTCCATTAGTGTGAAGATCCGTCCATCACGATGGAGGGGGAGGAGCCTGGTTCTACCTGCTGCATCAGACGCTCTGACCCTGGAGACATGGAGGTCACCTGGGACTGCAGCTGAATTATTAATCTCATCGACATTAAGAGAGCTGAATTATTCAGGAGCTGCTCTGAGGGGATCCAGGGATTTAAATGAATACATTTTATGTCCGTATCTGATATCCAGGTCCTTCATGAAGCCTGTTTCAGTGGAAGTGGCCAAACTGGTCGTTATGTGGGTTTCCTGCCTGCTCGGACTTTAAAGGTCCAACGACAGGAAATATTTCAGCCACTCCTGGAAAAGCCGAAATGGCTGTTAAGAATTTAGCAGCTAATAAAACAGTATACAGCGCTTTTATTTTGAAGAGCTTTGCGCTGTAAAGCCATGGGGCGCTTATGAACATTTGAACCATTGGTTGAAAAGCTTCTGCTGCTTCATCTCTGATCCTCATTAAGGTCAGCCGTCCAGGAAAGTGAGTCCAGATGCTTCTGCTGCTCCTGTGTTCGATGCCAGAGAGCAGCTTTGCTATATTAGCTGTGATCAGCGGGTAAAAAGTAGTTCTATGTTGAAGTGAGAAAGTCCTCCTGAAAACATGGTCTGTGCAGTCAGTTCATCCAGATTACCATCCTGCCTTCAAAGATTATTCCTCTGTGGGAGCCGCTCAGACCCCCACATACCGGCGCTGCGCTGTCACTGGGAATCCCCAGCAGCAGCTGCCTCAGGCCCGCTCAACTCTTGGGGGTTTTCCCCTCCTGTTGGTGGCGGCTGGAAGTAGATGTTAGCATTTTTCAGGTCTGTGCTACAAACTGCAGGCAGCAGGATAATAAAAGCCAACATATTCTGCCGGCAGGTTTCTACATTTGAAGTTTATTTAGGCTAGATGCTGTAGGTCCTTTTGTTGCACCTTGATGTGCGTCAATCACAGACTGAATGTAAACCTGCTGCTTCTGCTGCTTAAAGCTCGTCAGGTGTGTTTACTGTTTTGTGAAATCTGAACCTAAAACTAACCATGCTGCTAGCTGAGCTAGACGCTAATGCATTTTAATGTGTTAATTATAAAATTTAAAAACAGAGACTGTTTCTCACTATGTGTGCTTGTGCGTCCTCGTGTCCTTGTGAAACGTCATCAGCCTCAGCCCTAGTTCTGTTCCAATTCACCAGAACAGCAGACCAAGAACAAAGTCCCCGGATGTTGTTCTGGCCCCTCCCTCTTTACCCAGCATGCATCAGAGCTGACTTGTCCGTTCTCCAGACATCCAGCTGTCCCAGCATGCACTGCAGCAGCAGCTTCCAGGTTAGCGCTCACAGAGCTCAGAGGATTAAGTTAAAAGTTCTCTTTTCTGTTGCTGTTGTTCAATAAAAGTACGTTTGAAGATCATTAGAGGCGAAAATATTATACTTTAAGCTTCACTATATGGAACATTTACTGATTTAGTGCGTAATTTGAAAGATGTTCCGATGTTGAGAGGACCGTGGCAACCAGCAGAGCTCTGAGGCTAACAGTGGCCAGGGCTAACGTTAGCCCTGGCCGCTGCAGACCGGCTAACGTTAGTCCGTCTGCAGCGGCCAGGGCTAACGTTAGTCCGTCTGCAGCGGCCAGGGCTAACGTTAGTCCGTCTGCAGCGGCCAGGGCTAACGTTACCCCGTCTGCAGCGGCCAGGGCTAACGTTAGCCCGTCTGGAGCGGCCAGGGCTAATGTTAGTCCGTCTGCAGCGGCCAGGGCTAACGTTAGTCCGTCTGCAGCGGCCAGGACTAACGTTACCCCGTATGCAGCGGCCGGGGCTAACGTTAGCCCGTCTGCAGCGGCCAGGGCTAACGTTAGTCCGTCTGCAGCGGCCAGGGCTAACGTTAGTCCGTCTGCAGCGGCCAGGGCTAACGTCAGTCCGTCTGCAGCGGCCGGGGCTAACGTTAGCCCGTCTGCAGCGGCCGGGGCTAACGTTAGCCCGTCTGCAGCGGCCGGGGCTAACGTTAGCCCGTCTGCAGCGGCCGGGGCTAATGTTAGCCTGTCTGCAGCGGCCAGGGCTAACGTTAGTCCGTCTGCAGCGGCCGGGGCTAACGTTAGCCCGTCTGCAGCGGCCGGGGCTAACGTTAGCCCGTCTGCAGCGGCCGGGGCTAATGTTAGCCCGTCTGCAGCGGCCAGGGCTAATGTTAGCCCGTCTGCAGCGGCCAGGGCTAACGTTAGTCCGTCTGCAGCAGCCCTCTCTCTGCATAGCCGTGTGTGAAGCACCGCTGGCTCTGATGGAGGTTTGATTGTTTTATTTGGCAAAATGTTCATTTGATTTGTGTTTATCTGACTGTGTTCATCATTATTCCTCCACTACATGTAAGAAGTCATAATTTATTATTATCTAGAGACTATTAATAGCAGGAGGTGAAATGCAGCTCCAGACTAGCTTTGAATGTGGTGATGTCATCAGTACGCTGCTGTTCTAATTGACCCAGATCTATGCTGCGTTCTCCCGTTCTCCCAGAGTCCAGACTTTCCTTGGATCTAGTCAGGAACAGACTTGGAGAGAACACGAGTCTGTACTCGTTTTCTTCTGAATTTAAAAGACGTTATCGTTCTCATTTCATTTCGGTGCCAAAATGGGACTGAAGAGTTAAATAAATTGAGTTCATTCGTTTAGCCATTAGCTTTGATTACCTAAACAGTAGCGAGCTAAAGGAAGCTAAGCCTCCATAGTTGTGACCATGAAGGAGTGACTGTGTTTGGGTTCAGCTCCATGAATCTGATGCTTCAGGTCTGATGACCTTCTCAGCTCAGAGGGTTTCAGGTTTCATCAGTGCAGAGCTGAAGGATCTGGTCACCATGCAGAGCAGATGTCTGATCCCTGCGCGTCTTCAGGCGTGCAGAGAACAACACAGACGCATCAAACAGACACATGCCAACAGCCAGGCTCACTGCAGTCGTCACTGTCGTCGCTGTTGATCTCCACCGACGTGTCCATGCTGCTGTTCTGAGAGCAGGAGCCCGCCCCGCCCCACCTGCTGTGGGCCCTCAGTGGCGACAGCAGGTGCGCCCCGCCCGCGGCGGACGCCGAGGGGGGGCTGAGGGCCACCGGCGAGGAGGAGGGGTTGGGAGAGAGGGGGCGGGTGGGAGAGGTGGGGGAGAGGCGGGGGAAGTAGGCAGAGATCTGCCTGATGGGTCTGATGGGCCCGGGGCAGACGTCTATGGCCATGTGTTCCTGGATGGAGATGCTGAGCTTCTTTCCTCTCTGCACCGTCATAGAGTCTGAAAAACAGACACAGTTCATCACCGTCCATGAGGGGAGGGGGTCCGTCTACACTGGAATACAGACCACTGAGACAGGCTAGATCTATGCTGACTAGATGAAGCATCTATGGTTCTGCTTTATATTTACATTAATGGGTTAAATGGTTCTATATGTGCATCAGTTTACCTAGAACTATAGAAAGTAGATCAGACAGCTGATCCAGACGCTGCTGCCTGCGTCCTCACTAGAACTATAGAAAGTAGATCAGACAGCTGATCCAGACGCTGCTGCCTGCGTCCTCACTAGAGCTATAGAAAGTAGATCAAAAATCACTGAATAGATCAGCAACTCAATCCATAACAGATCTGTTGTCTATGGATCTACTTCCCAGACAATTCAGATCTTCTAGTTCCAGCCTCCCCTTTCCACCCAGAACTAGAACCAAACATGGAGAAGCAGCATCTATGCTCCATGGATCTGGAACAAACTCCCAGCAGCATCTATGCTCCGTGGATCTGGAACAAACTCCCAGCAGCATCTATGCTCCGTGGATCTGGAACAAACTCCCAGCAGCATCTATGCTCCGTGGATCTGGAACAAACTCCCAGCAGCATCTATGCTCCGTGGATCTGGAACAAACTCCCAGCAGCATCTATGCTCCGTGGATCTGGAACAAACTCCCAGCAGCATCTATGCTCCGTGGATCTGGAACAAACTCCCAGCAGCATCTATGCTCCGTGGATCTGGAACAAACTCCCAGCAGCATCTATGCTCCGTGGATCTGGAACAAACTCCCAGCAGCATCTATGCTCCGTGGATCTGGAACAAACTCCCAGCAGCATCTATGCTCCGTGGATCTGGAACAAACTCCCAGCAGCATCTATGCTCCGTGGATCTGGAACAAACTCCCAGCAGCATCTATGCTCCGTGGATCTGGAACAAACTCCCAGCAGCATCTATGCTCCGTGGATCTGGAACAAACTCCCAGCAGCATCTATGCTCCGTGGATCTGGAACAAACTCCCAGCAGCATCTATGCTCCGTGGATCTGGAACAAACTCCCAGCAGCATCTATGCTCCGTGGATCTGGAACAAACTCCCAGCAGCATCTATGCTCCGTGGATCTGGAACAAACTCCCAGCAGCATCTATGCTCCGTGGATCTGGAACAAACTCCCAGCAGCATCTATGCTCCGTGGATCTGGAACAAACTCCCAGCAGCATCTATGCTCCGTGGATCTGGAACAAACTCCCAGCAGCATCTATGCTCCGTGGATCTGGAACAAACTCCCAGCAGCATCTATGCTCCGTGGATCTGGAACAAACTCCCAGCAGCATCTATGCTCCGTGGATCTGGAACAAACTCCCAGCAGCATCTATGCTCCGTGGATCTGGAACAAACTCCCAGCAGCATCTATGCTCCGTTGATCTGGAACAAACTCCCAGCAGCATCTATGCTCCATGGATCTGGAACAAACCCCCAGCCTGAGATCTTTGAAGTCACTAGTTTAGAGCTGCCATTTTCCCACCAATAGTTTCAACACTTGTTTTCCTTTCCGCTCCTTTAGTTCATCCGTGTTTCTGTTTCATTCCCGCTGCTCCAGAGTCCCGCCTACCTGTGTGACATCACTGGATCCAGCCAGAGCCTGGATCTGACTGTTTAAGCTATGATATGATTGATGGAGGCTGTTCTCTGCGTACGTAGCGGAGACTGGAGGAGTGGAAAACGACTTTCTCTGCAATCACTATCCTGGTAGATATATTAATATGTTTCAGCAGAGACAGAAGCAGCTGCAGATTTAAAACACATTTACTGGGAAAAGCAACATGAAATAAAATCTCTGAGAAATATTTTACATGAAGAAAGACGATATTTTAAAATCTACTTCAGCAAGACTCAGAAATCATTGTTTTAGAGCCGCTCACAGCCCAGAGTCAAAAAAAAGGAATATGAGAAACCTATAAACTCAAAGCCCAAATTATACAGTAAAAATCACTGAATTAATAAAACCTTTTATACCCAAACTTGGTCTGTTAAAGATACAAATAAAAATAAAATACTCTTAACTAGATTTAGCTGCTATAGTAATAATCACTGATAGATAGATAGATAGATAGATAGATAGATAGATAGATAGATAGATAGCTTCATGAGCTGAAAGCCTTAAATCCAACTAAAATCTCAGTCTAACCATCGTTATTCCTGGTCACCCATCATCACGGTGTGTCCACCTGCTCCTCACGCCGCCTGCCGAGGCCTCGCCACTTCCTGTCTCACCTTTAACCCTCCCCACCTGCTCCCACAGGCGGAGCTGAGGGGTCACCAGGTCATCTCCATGTCCTGTGTTTGTTCTGCAGCCACTGAATCTGCTCAGAGGATTAAACTAGACACACCTGAGACGACCAGGTGACTCCATCGCTCCACCTCTGCCTGCTCCCCACTGGACGGCCTGGTCCTTCTGGGTTCTGCTAAAAACCAAAAGGTTTCTTCCTGTTCAAAGGGAGTTTTTCCTCTCCACTGTCGCTACAAGCATGCTTAGTGTGAGGGATTGCTGAAGAGTCAATGAGTCGATGCAATCAGCTGGTTTTCCTTAGATAGAAAACTTTAATCTGACTGGATGATCTGGTGGATCTGGATCTATAAAGAGCTGTTATGATTAGAGAATAGAAATAAACTGAATAGTTTTCACTCAGGAGACGGATTCTGTTTATTAGTAGAGAAAACTCTGAAGTTGAATAAAGCTTGAATGTAGTGAAGCTCCTCAAAGGACCGCCTCTCTGCTGTCCATCCTGACAGCAGTAAACCAGCGGGAAGTAAAATGCCTGCAGCGTGCAGGAAGTCATTTATGTCTTTCTGTGGATTAGCAGAGATGTTTCATCACAGGAGGACCAGAGTGGAACCGCTTTGTTCCTGAAGCTGTCCGCAGCAATAAGCTAACATGTTAGCACCTGGAGGACGGTGGTTTTTACCACCAATCAGTCGACCTTTTGATCCAACATTTTCATCCAACATCAGAAATCAAAGGCTCCTATGAGCCTGTGTGGGAGGATGCCGGTTCAATTCCAGCCTCTTCCTGCCACATGCTGCTGAACCTCTGGGACAGTTGGATGTCTGAGTGATGGGGCTGCGGTGCGAAGGGTTCTGATTGGTCAATATGGCCGACCTGCAGCCGTTCCTCTGCTACGGTCTGGTTCTGACCCGGCTCAGAGATAACGACCGGCCCGCAGTCAGAGCGCCGATGGAGACGCTACAGAGAGAGCAGCTCTGACCTGATATGAGCTGAAGGAAAACACATGATTCCATAAAGTCGTGTGAAGGAACCTCATCGCCTGCATGTCTACAGCTCCCACAGCCTCAGCAGGCATCACAGAGGAAGCTGCTGATCTCCGCCGACATGAAGACGCTACAGGTCAGAGATAGAGGACCCACCACACCGCTGAGGGTCAACGAAGGACACAATCCTGTCCTTCTCACAGACCCAGAGCTGCAGTCACCCAGAGGCTCTGATCTGAAGGTCAGAACAAATCACACGTAGCTCTGATCGCTGTTGGAAAAACAGTCCTGCAAAACCTGGAAATAATTTAAAAACAACGTCCAGGCTACAAGGTCCTCAGCATCCAAGGTCCAGAACAGGAGGCATCCTTTAATAAAGCACAGCCTGAACCCTGTGGACTTCAGTAAACAATGGACTGAAGCAGATTAATGAGGCGCCTGAACCACAGAGAGAGGGAACCCAGAAGATGAAGGACCTGGAATGACCTGAGGACCTCTGAGCTGCAAAGGAACCATGAGTTTCTACAGGAGGGATCAGGAACCAGCAGCAGAACATTTCTCCACTGTGAGACAAATAAGGTCAATCAATCAGTAAATCCATCAAAGAGATGGCCTAGTGGTTAGAGCAGTGAACTTGTGCTCTGAGAGGGTTCCAATTACCTCCATTCTGGGTCCCTGAGCAAGACCCTTAACCCCACACTGCTCCTCTGGCGCCGTAAAGTGGCAGCCCAGTGCTCCCAAAGGGGATGGTTTAAATGCAGAGAAGGAATTTCTCCAATGTGAGATCAATAAAGTTCAATTGCTTCAGAAACGAAGAAGTTTCAGAAAGGAAGATTGGATATAGGCCTATAATTGACCAAGTCATCTGGGTCAAGAGACGCTTTCTTAAGTAAAGGTTTAATTCCAGCAACCTTAAAAGCCTTTGGTACATATCCCTGTAACAGAGATAGATTAATCACATCTAGAATGGAGGAGGAGATCAAAGGGAATACCTCCTTAAATAACCTGGTTGGAACTGCTCAAGGACACAGAGGAGAGAGAAAGTGAAGCAGATTCTTTAAACTGTATAACTGCTCTATCTGATAATGATCTGCTAAAATGTAACCTTCCTTTGGGGGAGGAGAACTCTGTTAAAGTAATCCTGAAGGTTATTAGAAAGTGGTCAGAGAGGACAGGGTTGTGAGGAAATACTGTTATTTCTTCACATTCTATGCCGTATGTCAGCACAAGATCCAAAGTATGAAGATGAGAATGTGTGGGACTATTCACATTTTGAACAAAGCCAATAGTGTCTAAGATAGCATTAAAGGCTGCTCTTAAGCTATCGCCTTCAATGTCAGCATGGATGTTAAAATCTCCCACTATGATGACCCTGTCAGTATTTAATACCAAATCAGAAAGGAACTCTGAAAACTCCTCTAAACATTCAGAGTAAGGACCTGGTGGACGATACAAAGTTACAAAAAGAAGAGGTTTTCTTGCCTTGAAATTTGGATCAGGGAAATTAAGGGTTAAATGTTTAAAAGAGTTGTAGGTATTAACTGTTTTGGGAGTAATCAGTAAGTCAGACTGGAAGATTGTTGCTACTCCTCCTCCTCGCCCAGAACTTCTGGGGATGTGAAAATTTTAATAGCTTGAAGGAGTTGCCTCGTTTATGCTCACATAATCCTCTTGCTGCAGCCAGGTTTCTGTAAGGCAACATAAGTCAATGTGATTATCACAAATCAAGTCATTAACTAGTAGAC